ACAGGTCTCCCGCTTGCCTTGGCAGCCATGCCAGCGCGGGATCGTCATCTTTGAGCTCTCTGCCGAGCTTCTCTTCCAACGCACTGCGGAGAACCCGTACTTGACGTTTGACCTCCTTGCAGGCGTTTTCCGCCAGGCCATTCGCTTGATGGTCTCCTACTGGCGATTCTTCTGAAATCCAACCTATGTTGGTTCCCTTCGCTGCTGCCTCTTTCAAGGCTACCACGGATGGCTCACCATCCGATTTGAGAACCACCTTGCGGTGTCCCAAGTTCTTCAAAAACTTCGCCGCGAACTTCGTTGCATACGGCGTCGCTCCCTTCGAGTCCACGAAGGTCGCCGCTATGGACTGTGTCCTCTCATCTTTCATCACGAGGATCGGCTTCACTCGCTCGTCCTCCACACCGCCCCGTGACATGAACGTGTAGTCCGTTGCCACCGTGGGCACAAGGCTCTTGGCCTTCTGTTCCTCGGACCTTGTCCGATGCGGCTGTCCTACAGCCCGTCCGGCAATGCAATGCCGGCGCCAATTTCGATACTGCACATGGCCTGTCGCCTCGTGCTCTTCGATCTCGGCCGGAGTTGGATCCTCCGGTGCTCTTATCTGGATGAATTTCTCAACCTCATCAACCATTTCCAATTCCTCATCTTCTTCTTGCCCCTCTGGATCAGGTCGGCCTGAATCCATAGAAGCGTCTCCTCTCTCGCCTGCGGCGTTCAACTCTGCGATGCCACAGCATTCCTTGGTCGGCTTATACCCTGGCTTTCTCAAGTAGAAATTGTATACTCCCTGCTCTTGGTACACAGGGATCCAATTCCGCTGCTCTGCAGCACTCGCTTTCCCCAAGATCTCCTGAACAGCCTTTCCAAGTTTGGACCCTTGCGGAATCAAGCTTCTGCCATTCACATCAAGAACTGCAATCCTTCCACAGCCTAAGCATTTGGACGCTGAAATCAATGGCTTGTGCACATCGGCCATTGAACCTTTCACACGGCACTTGTTGCCGCTCTCATCGAACCCTTCAAAGGTTCCAATGCCCTGACTGGGCACCAAGTATCCTGACGCAGTCTTGAAAACAATCCCGTTACCTTCACTGACAACCACTCGGTCCTCCCAGCCATTCGGGATGGCTGTCTGGGCTGCCCCAGTGTCCAGGTTTAACTTCATCCAGCGGATGAAGCATCCGCCATTCCTATTCCACTCAAGTCTGCCGTGAGCATTCCGACATCTGCTTCCGGAGCCGGCTCAGCGCCTCCTTCCGGATCGTCTGCCTCTTCCATACTGCCTGCGGCTCTGCCTTTGCCGCCTTTTCCACCTTTGCCTTTACCACCTTTGCCTCCTTTGCCACTCTTGTCTCCTTTGCCTGAACCTGTCCATTTGTCGCCTTTCCCATCCGGCCGCTTCTTGCTCCAGCAGTCGGCCGCTCTATGTCCCTTCTTACCGCAATTGTAGCAGGTGATCTCTTGAGCCGTGTTTGAGCCTTTACTTGAGCCTCCTTTGCTTGAGCCTTTCTTTCCATCACCTTTGGCCTGTTTACCTTTTCCTTTACTCTTTCCTTTGACTAGGCTTGCAATCCATTGTCCGATCGAATCGACGTCCATTGGTTGTGGTCCTTGATAACTAGAACTTGATGAACCGGGTTTTGGAACAGATGATTTTGATGTGAGGGATGATTCAAATGACAAGTTCAATCTCCTGTTTGATCGATGCATAGGACGTCAATCGACTCTTGTTCAACAAAAGGTGTTTCTCTAAGTCTGGGGGCACCAACATCTCTAATGAAGCGGACTTGATATCGTCCGATAAGGTCCTCTAGCCCCTGAAGCGTTTCGCCGAGCTTCGTACCTCCTGATCAGCTCTTCCAGTTGCTCGATGGCTGGCCTCACAGCGGTCCAAGTTTTGACCCGCTCTGGCTGGAGGCTAGCTCGAAGGATGTTGCGTTTCCTTCCTGAAGTACGGGGATCCCATCGTCGGTGGACTCTTCGGTATGCCTCGAAACCATTTGAGGCTCCTACCGTGAGATCTTCCGTTTCGCCGGAAGTGAGAGTCAGGAGGACGCGATGGATTTGGTCCGCTTTGTCTTCTAAGTCGTCGAGGTCTGATACGGTGCCAGCCCCGAACTCTGATTCCATGCGGCTCATTTCAATCGTGTCTTCCTGCTCCAAGATGAACTCGAGAATTTCTATGAACTCTCTCCCAAAAGTAGTTACAAACAAGTTGTCTATGCTCCTAGCCCACTTTCGGAATTCCCCTTCAACATTCCCGAAACTCTCAGGGCGTCCCAACCCCTTTGTATCCATGAGAAGCCAACATGGTTACCCCTCCTTGTGATTCCCTTAACACCTGGTTTTCCTGTTCCAAACGTGCTTGGTTTTGCTGGAGCTGCAAAACCATATCAGACAACTGTTGAACCTGTTGCTCTAAAGCCATGGTTTGAGACCGGGCCCAAACTCCCGAAGGCGCTGCTTTCGCACCTTTTCAGCTGCGGACGATTCGTCCTGCCTCCGGCCCCTTACCAGGCCGGTCCAAGGGCTTTCACCCTTGGGAAGGTTCAGAAGAAGGTTTTGGGATCTCGCGGACCTCTGAAGTGGTCCGGGTTCCCGTAGATTGAGATCTAAAGCTCGGCCCCAGACTGCTCTGCGCCGATTTGTATCGCGGCTTTGAGGTCGACGGGCCGGTGGCAGGGCTGCGACTCCTGCTCTTCAATCTCACTCCGGAGGTCTCTTCTTCCGGCAGGCTCTCTGTCTCCTCTTCTTCTTCGATCTCGTCGGCTGGATCAGCCGCTTCACTCTTCTTCTTGGCACGCCTCTCTTTGTTGCGGACTTTCTGTTCTTTCCGCTCCTCCTTGATCTCCTGCTCTGGGCGCTCCTTGCCAAAATCTTTGATACGCCTCCTCGGATCTTCTGTGATGACACCCTGCTTCTTTTGCAACCTGACCAAATCCTTGAGCTTCCGATACTGTAATGAAACTCTGCTTCGAAGTCGGAATCCGGATTTTGGCTCTGGGTGCTTCTTGACTTGGCCCCAAATTTGTTTCTTCACCTGCTTCCTCCACGGTGCCTTGGGGTTGATCTTAGCTGGGGTGTACTTGGCGTTGGTGCCACGGATTTCCCAGCCGGTCTTGATACCTGTCGGACTTGTGATGAGATCGGCGATAACTCGGCCGCCTTGTGGCCGAGCGGCTGAAGCAGCCGCCTCGGCTTCCGGCTCAACTGTTGGATCCTGCTCAGGCTCTTCCTCTTCCTGTGGTCCTTCCACTACCTCTTCCTTTTCCTCTTTGGTCTCTGCGGTCTGATCGACCGCTGTAGTGGAATCTGCGGCCTGATCTGCCGCTTCAGTGGACTCTGTTGGCAAAGGTTGTTCGGGCAAAGGCTCGTTCTCCTCCTTCTCTTTTACTTCTCCTCTTTCCTCTATACCAACCGGGGCGGCAGAAGCTGCCGCTCCCGATGGTTCCAGCTCCTCTTCTTCGGAGCTTTCAACTTTCTTATATCCTTCTTCCTTGATGCGCAGCGCTTTGTCCCTGTCACTCTCTCCGGACTCTTGCGCTACCATGAAAACACGAAGTCGACGTTGCGGAACGCCTTTTCGTCTTGAGCCAAAACACGTCGTGAGTCACGTGTCTGCAGTTCCCTAGCGGAGTATTTATGGGCTGTACATGCAAACAGATTGCACCAATGAAATATATAATATTGACATCAAGTTCAGTGTATATGGTCGAGTGGAAAAGTCCTATTTCCCCATTTTTGTACTATACTTCCTTGTGCTTCTTTGCCTCATCAGTTTCTCCGGAGGTGTTTGTTGCGTCAATAAGTCTGATTGCAAATGTAGAGTATTCAATATTTGGATCATTACTACATTTAGAAAATATATATATATATACATACAGTAATCGGTTCTGGGCTCGTTGTAAGCAAGTTCTCAAGCACTCGATTGAACTAGTCATGGTCTTATCACGTCCAACTCTTCATACCTTTGGTGGTTTCTCTTGTTGGTGATGATCCCTGTTTCTTTTATCCAAGCCTCTCTACTATTCACATGCTTGCAGTTTTTTTTGGAAATCGTTCTTGGGTTCCTTAAGCTAAATCTGTCCTTTTTCAGCGTGTCACCTAATAAATATATAAGCAAACCTAGGTATCAAACAACGTTTGGAAGTTCTCGTCATCCATTTGAACAGGTTGTGTAATGAGAATAGACTGTGCCATTGACCCTGATCATCTTTAAAATCTTTTTGTCCTTCATGTTTCACAATGCATCAAACCATAGAGTTCATAGGTTATATCTTGGTCCTTCTTGTCTCTGCTTGTTTGCATCTCTTGGTTCAATGTGCCGCTCTCTTATGCCAATCTGCAAAGCTTGTTATTTAAATCCAGTCTTCTCTTGGCAAAGGTTATTGTTCCGTTGATATCACTCGTCAGGCCTTTAATGACATACTTGCTGGCAACAGTTCTTTTTTTTAATTTGCTCCTTTGGAAAACAGTTGATTGGTGTGGTTTGTTTGAACAATCTTTTGCATCTTTACTATATTTTATGGAGCTGCTAAACTATGCTAAACTTATGTTTGAATGTGTGGATAACTACAGTAAGGGATTTACACTGATATGTTTGCAAAAGGATTAGGGCACACTCTAACAAATGACTTGCACATGGTTATTTTTTGTACTATACAGATTAGATCGTTAGATAGCCAATGTCGTTTTATTTTTGTGTTTGTTAGTCACATTCAAGTCAACCTTGGTACGCAGAACCCCCCATACTACCCTCTGTGATACTCTCTGTGGTATATTGGATTTGCCTACGCTAGCTGATTGTCAACTTTTACTTACAAGAGGTTCGATGATTGCCTTTGTTGCTAATTTGAGAACAAGTATATAAAAGTATATACACATACATACACGTAACATATTAGGCTTCGACAAAGCTCCAGACAGACTTCATGCCACGCCCTACTTATTCTGGAGCTCAGTTGGAGACACTTCAAAGGTTGGCCAACCAGCTGTGCCTCCAACAAAGAAAGTAAGTGCAAGAGCTGTAACCAAACCATACACCACTGCTGAGACTCCTTGGTAGCACACTATCACAGCCTTTGCGGTTGCTTCATCTTCTGACATCCGGTGAGAAAATGCTATGGACTTTCACTATTGACCAAGTCACTTAGAGGCCAGGTCGCAGGTGCACGGGGATTTCTTGCTCTCCATTGCAAAGCCTGTGCAGAGAAGTCAGTATTGCCAAGCTAAAAATCACCAGTCATGCCAAGCAAGTGGCCAATGCGACTCCACAAAAGCTGGTACTTCACTTCAGGCCTCCTTGATAGGTGCTACCAGCAAACTGACGATCATGATCACTGCGACATAGGCCATCCTCGTCTCAAAAACAACAAACATTCTTACCTCAATAGCATCTGCAATCTGCACATGTTCAACCCGGGATATTGATGGCTGTATACGTTGTCGTTGCTCAAGCTTGGTACTTTGAGATCTAATTGACATCAACAATACATCAACCACCAAATATCAAGTTTTTCCCATAAAAGAAGTGAAACCACTTGACGGGTGCTTGTGCCAGACTTGGAATAATCAGGTTCCATGGAGGAGATGAACTGTTTCAGCTTTGGTACCAATGCCCAAAGCCCCTACTGGTGCATTGGTGTCTGTCAGGAATTGAGTGCCTTTGGATGGTGCATGCGGGACGCAGCTTTACCAAACTCTCCCTCTCGTTCCAAGCCATCCATGCCAAGGATCTGATAGACAGTGTAGAAAGGATTCTTCATAATGTCGTTGCCGTGAACCAAGTCACCGATAGCATTGGCCAGCGTCCCAACTGCCAGAACAACAAAAAGACCTTTGTTCGAGCGGTCAGCGGTATACTTTGTAGATTCTTCCAGTGGCCTGTTGTGTTTTACACATGCTCCGACATTCGCTGTCGGTGGTCAAACGCAGGTTCCTGCCTGATGTCACTTGAAGGCGCAAAACGTCCCCTGTGATGGGTCAAGATGAGAATGACAACTTGTGGGTCAGCCACATTGAACACAAAGCACTGGATGAATGGCTTAGATTGGACTCGGGCCTCGTGGTGGCTTTTCAAGTTGGATGGAAATGACATACTGTATGTCAGATATAAACTCGAAATGGTTGAGCAGTACAAACACAAAGACTAGGGGAAGACAGAAAGCATCGAATGTCGTTGTCAAAAGAAGCAAAATAGATTTGGAGGTGTATGATCATGCAGCAATGCAGTGGCATAAAAAGAGCAGGTAATGCAAGAACTTCGAGGATGTCAAAACCAGACACTGGAGTTGGAGGCAGCTGCGGTTGTTCTTAATATGGCTTGCCCCAAAACAATACAAAGTCAATCCGCATAGCTCAATGCTCTGCAATTGAGCAGCACCCTTCGAAAGGGCAAATGTAGCTGATAGTGAAAGAAGTTGAGGATATGATTTGAACAACGGCGAACCCCGCCAAACTGCACACAGCGGAAAAAATGAGAACACAGAACCCTCCGTATTCCGGGAACAACAAGCGAATTGCTCCTAGTCAGCATTCCGGCGTCTTCAGTGCCAGGATGAAAAGGTCAATGCCCTAATCGTTGGCGAGAAGCGCAGCTCATACTTCCAAAGTCTAGATTTGGACAGCATAAATGAAATACCTCAGCATTCGATCAATGGCAGCTTTAAATGCTTTGAATAGTCAATATCAAAGTGTGACCATCTTGCTTAAGAGTCAGAAAGTTGCAAAAATAGGGAGGCTCTGATCCCATCGCACCTTTTGCCAAGTTGAGAATGTGCGAAATATGCATCTGCTCCCAGTTGACTGAATATTGGAAAAGGAACCCAAGCAGCTTCGTGCTTTCAGCTCACCCTCCCGCAAGAATGCTCAAAGAAAGAAGCATGTCAAAGCTGTTCCATCACTTCCATAGATGAGCTCAGCTAAGCTGAGAAAATGGAAATCTTTGCAGCGCTCACCAGATTGAATAGGAACTTCAGCAAAATGACCCCCATGGCAAAGCTTCAAGGAGAAGTGGATCATTTCAATCAAAGCTTCGGATGGCCAGTTTTTAAGTGTTTACAAGCAACTGGACTATTGTGGGCCAGCAAGGTGCCACTGACCACGTAGAGGAAGGGAACAACCCACCTGCGCACGAAGCCACTGACCCTTTTCCGACGGCGGCCAAGCCCTCGACGCGTTTTCTTTGGAGTCGACACGTTTTCTTGGATGAGAAACAGTGAGTTGAAGTTGATGAATACGTGTACGGCACAAAGCCAGCAAACCAAAGAATAACGAGGACACAGCGCTTCACTCTCGCTCCTAACCCTTCAGCTGCGCTCCTTTTGGGTTCGGATGCCACGGCGGCTCTCGGGCAGGTGTTTCCTCGCCATGTCGGCCGCCTGCCCCCCGTGGTGTCCGGCCGGAAGTTCGCAGCTGCCAGGTTCATCGCCTTCTCCATGGAGGCGGTAGCCTGGTCAAGTGTCTTGTACAGGCTGTCCCAGTCGAAGTCAATCTCCTTCCATCCCAGAGCTACTGCCTGCGAGGTGTCTCCTCGACTGATGGCGTCTGAGATGTTGGCCTGAGAGGTGACTCTCTCCCAGTGTGGCTCGTAGTCAGAGCTCTCCACGAACTGCCACAAAAAGGCCAACAGGCGGTTGACCTTGGTGTCCTTCCCGTACCCTTTCTGCAGGGCGAATTTGCCCGGCTCGTTGTCTATGAAGCACAGGCTCATGCGCTCTAGGTAGGGCTTGCCGGCCACCAAGCAGAGGAGCTGGGCTAGAATCTCCAGGGCGTAGATGAAGGCCCTCCTGGAGGTGAACCTTCCAAGCAAGCTGCCCGGAATCGCACCGTGTGCGTAGTAGCACTGTTGGTTCGGCTGGCGTGTGACAAAGCCCCAGCCGTTCTGCAGGAGGTTGGCGGCGTCCGCACGCCAGTTCGGGCGCTCTAGCGCTGTGCGGATGTCGATCTTCTCGTCTCCAGCCTGGAAGTACGCATCAGCGTACACAATGGAGCAAGGTGGTTGGGAAAAGTGGAAAATTCGGGGTCTGGCATTGGGTAAAATCATCAAAACTGTTGTCAAGGCCTCTCTGACCCCGTCTCCCAGTGGAATCTGTGCGTGCTGCACGGGCGCCGATGCGCGTGCGTACAGGGGCTGTATGCAACATCTAATCGTTTGTGAGAGCATTGCTTCGGAGATGAACTGCAACTGTCCTGCCAGTCGCTGGGCTTCGTCGGATGACATGCTTCCTCTGTTCATGAACTCTTGCATTTGCGCTGTCATGCGCTGTGTGCGTGCAGGGTCAGCGCTGACCTTGAACGAGGTCTCACTGATGGTCATGATGACCCCTTGAATGTGCTGTTCTGTTGCCGGTGGCTGGTCCTTACTAGGCTTAAATTTGAAGCCAATGGTGGTCATGAGGCGGTGTACGCAGTCAAAGCCTGACTGTATGGTGCATGGGGGTTCGATTGAAGCGTAGTCATCTACGTAGTGCACCATTGGGGACAGTGTCAGTGCTCGGCAGAGCCAGCAGATCATGTCTGCTGTCCTTGTGTAGGCCCACACCGAGGCCGTGCTCCCGAAGAGGAGGCACCTATGTTTCCAAAGTGTCCATCCGCCCGGTATTCTCACCAGGACGTGGGTTTGGTCTGGGTTGGCTACGGGCAGTTGCCGGTACGCTGACTCGTGGTCTGCTCCCCACAAGTGTGTTGTGAATCCCTGACTTCGGAATTCATTGGAGATTGCAATGAAGGTGTTCACCCTGTGCGTGGGTGGAACGTCTCCTCCCTCGACTGTTTCGTTGCGCCGACTCCTCTTCCAGTCTTCGCACCTTCGGACTTTCGTGAGTCCGTCAGCCCCGGTCTGCTCGACCGAAAAGGCGAAGCTTGTGGGTACGTGGCATGTAGGTCCGTCTCGGAGCCTCTCTTTGTTGGGGTGGTGCATGGAGGGAATGGTTCGTATGCCCCATGACGGAGGGGCCGTCAGCGGGCCGATCATCCGGTCTTTCTCAATGTCCTTGGAGATCTCTCCAAGCATGGCATGCCAGTGTGTGTCGGGTCTTGTCTGGTGGAGCCTTGACAGTACGTGTTCTTCATTGAGTTTGAGGAATGAATCGAAACGCATTGGCTGTGCATATTTCATGTCAAGGCGTTTCTTCCACCCGAGGCCGGGGCTCATGCGGCGTACGACCGGGAACCCGACTGGATCTCGTCCAGCAGTGCTGTGTCTGTCCACCCGAGTCTCCCCAGGAGCTGTGACAGTAGGGGGAAGTGGATTCGATTCGGTCCCGAGGGGTGGAGTACAGTCCGGATGCTCTCTGTTCGTGCTTGGTGTAGTTCATCCTCCAGGTCCTCAGCTAGCAGGGTGATCTCTTCGGCCTGCCCGGATGTGTGGCAAACAAGGGTGCCAGTGTAGCCAAAGATGGATGGTCTGTCTGAGCCCCGGTTCCAGTGGTTCGGCCACTGCCGCTGGGTGTTGGCGAAGATGGCTCTCCCGCCAGCGCTGCTCCATGCAGGTGCATGTGGTCATCCAGTGTGCCTCTGGGTCGCCGATGTCGGGCCCGCATGCCAGTGGTCCCGAGCTCCAGATTGATGTCATCACGTCCAACGCACTGTGGCCCAGTGGTTGGAGCTCTGTGGTGATGTCGACCGTCGTGGTCTGGGAGTCTGCTGCTGGAAAACAAGTCAGGAGGGTCAGGACCAAGATGGCTGCGCCCAATGCCATCCGTTGGCGACGATCTTGCGTCTGTTCCTTTCGTCCCTGGCAGGTGCCGTGAAGTCTTCCGGCAAGTGGTGCATACGCTCCTTCACTTGGATGCTTGGGGTCACGAGTTCTCCTCGGTCGTTCTCCCACAAGTTCTCCGGCCTATAGTGCCATGGAGCGAATTGCTTCCCAGCCAGCTCCCACCTATGGAAGGTGGCCGAGTCGAGTTTGCCCTTCACGGATCTGGGGATTGGGCGCCCCTCTGGTCCTGGAGCTGGTGTAGTCAGTGTTGGGAGTGTTTTCCCTTCGGCCAAGCATGTGGGTGGCTTTCATCCATGCGGGAGGATGTCTTGGATCCTGTCCGGTGGGAGCTCAAAGGACAGGTGGTCCAGCCCGTACAGCTTCGTCCACTGGATCTTCCAGCCGATGGCAGTGTCCGTGAACTGTGACCATCCAGCATCGGACCACCACACTCGTGGCCTTTTGACTGTGCCCCAGTCCTGGGCGTCGACGATGATGCCTGGGACGCCGGTCTCATTCTCAAAGTGTTTGAGATCGGCTTTGCGGCTCATGATGACGTTTTCGATGAGCCGTAGGACCCTCCTGGTGCCAAAGATGGCGGCGGGGTCGGCGAACCAGCGCAGCATGTCATCGAATTTCTGTCCCTCGGGCCCTTCTCGGCCGGCCGCGTCTGGGCAAATGCGGCTAAAGTCAGGGCATGGTGGTGCCGCGGCCAGCAGGATAGCACACTCCTTGTTGGGGTCCAATTCGTCGATGTGATCTCGTAGGGCATCTTGGGTGTCCTCGAAGATGTTGCCCCTTTGCTCGAGGTCAGGCCACCTGGAGATCACGTTGCACGACTCGTCAATCTCCCAGGAAATTCGGTGCCAGATCCTGCGGCGTCCCAGAACGATGTCCGCCGCCTCGTGGGCAGTGCCGCAGCCGTCGAACACGCTCAGGACCAACCACCACTTGTGCGTTGGCTGTGGGATGGGTGTTCCAGGGCCGATGTACCGGGCCATGCGGTCTTCTGTTTGCTCATGGCCTGCCATGAGTCGTGGGACTTCCATTGGGGCCACTCCCTCTTCCATGGGCGGTCTTGAGATGACTGGGACGCCGTCCAGGATCAGTCCGATCGTACTTGCCGCCTCCTTTGCCCTTGGAAGATGGCTGCCTGGCCTGTGTCTTCTTCGGCAGGGGCTTGGGGAGCTGCAGCTCCTTCACCAGTGCAGCCTGGAGGGCGCCCGTGTCATCCATGAGGGTCTGAGTGCAGTGGGCGAAGGTATGGCCCTGCCTCATCAGCAATGCGATGCGCCAGCCGCCATCGAGCCAGTAGGTTTTCAGCTGCTCTATTTTCCCTGGCCGGGATGATCCATGAGTGTGGGTGGTCCACAAATGTGTCTGTGTTTCACGTGAGACGAATGAGGGCCTCTGGGTCCTGGGGGTCATCAACTCGGAGGTGGCCACGAGATCGGCGGCGAGACGGTGAAAAACCTCCGCGGCCTCGTGGTCTAAAGCTTGGTGTGGCCTGGTAAGTGCACAGCAGCGGTACCTGGGGCCTGGTGGTCTAAAGCTCGGTATGGCCAGATATGATCGGTGATTTCAATGGCCGATACGGTGCGGTTGATTTCACTCGGAAGCGCTGCTGGGTGAAGAGGTTTCGGACTCGTCGGATTGGCGGTCCATCACCTCCGTCTCGGAAGAGGCCCCCGCGGCTTCGGGGGTATCTGGAAAACATTGTCGGCAAGGCTGATCGAGTCGGTCGGACCGGCGGATGCGGGTCAGCCCATACGGCCTTCCACACTTCGTCCGCCACTCGGCCGGGACTGCCCCGTGTTCTCTCGGGTCCGGCAAATGGGATTTGCGAATCACCACGTATTTCGGTGGTGTGTTCAAGCAGGGGACCTTCGCGGCCAGGCTCTCCAGTTTGGTGCGCAGCTCATCGAATTCGCTGTTGCGCACGAACGAGGGTCGTGCTTCTCGGTGGTCTGGTTCGCCCAGAGGCCTGCATGGTCGGAGGAGAGACGCCTCCTGGATGTATCGTTGAATGGCATGAGAGCTCCAGCGGCCAAGGAGGAGGATAGTGTTCGTGTCCATGCGTGTCCAGGAACTGGGCCCGCAGCGAGTGACCGCCAAAGCGTTCCAGCGGGTGCCCGTTGGGGCCAACTCGGGTGGTCTCGGTCCCCGTCAGTTGGATGACGCGTCGGATGGCCTTGATGGTGTCCGCCTTGGATCGCGTGTGGCCGCGACCGTCCGGGAAGAGTGGTGCGCGGTCCGTCATGAGCTCGATCCTATCCAGCCGGCGCCTCAGGGCGTGAACGATGCACAAAGGTTCGGCCTCAGTGGAGCATGAGCACACATGGGACCGTTCGATCATTTCACCTTTCGTGTCAGTCTTGGACACGGGGAGGCTCCAGTGGACTATTGGGCGTTCGGAGGCAGTGTGCTCGAAGCGGATGTGAGAGGCCTTGGCGTTCGCGAGTTCGATCTCTCGCATGAGGAACCAGGAGCCGCTCAGGACCATGATGTAGTCGTCCTCGACGTCCTTGAAGTTGGGGAGTTCCCGGAGCGTCCTCAGCAGTGTGAGGTCGAACGAGTCTTTGAGTTTGGCCGGGCCCAGTCCGCGCTCGATGCTCCTCACGGCATCTTTCATGCTCAGCTCGACCTCCACCGGGATCTCGCCGTGGCGAACGACGTGTTCGCGCCGGGCGGCACTGAAGTAGAGCTTGGCGGACTTGTACCCGCCCGCCTTGAGTGAGGCCCCCACTCGTTCGATGAGTTCCGGGGTTAATGGCCATGGAGGCATGTGCCAAGCTCTGGCGATTGTCTCCCTGCAGGTCTTGACTCTGCTGTTGTGGGGGTGCGAGTTGCTCCTCGCCCAAATGTCTTCCCGGAAGGATTTCAAGGTCTGGTTGGCCTGCGCTGACTCTAGTGCCCTCTTGAGGCTACCCCCTGTGGACGGATTGATCTTGGGAAGGTCTCGACGTGGATCTTCCGGTAAGCCAGCCTGGTGTGGCTCCAGCCAGGTCTTCAAGGGGATCTGCAGCATGGAGGTCTCCTCATCAGTCAGGTCGAGTGTCGACCAGCGGGGTCGTTGAGCTGCCAAAACGGATGGCGAGGTCCAGCCCAGTTCGACCAGAGTGGGAAGGATGCGTGTGATGGCCGCTATCTCGCAGGCCGCTATCACGGTGTCCCACCGATCGGCTAGAGCCATGCTGACGGCTATTGCGGGCGCACAGAGGGTGCGGATCAAACAAAGATGGAGGGGTGTGAGGAGGCGACGATCGACACCAAGTCACCGAATCTAAGTGCTGCACATCTGACGAATGAGCGTCAGTTCAAGTGTCCGTCTCTGACTCAGGTTCCAACACCGACCGACGACGGGCGAGTCTTCATACCAGATTCGGACGACGTGCCAGGCGCAGGTCGTCCGGGTCCTGGGTCGCCAATGCCATCATGGCATCACCAATGGCTGCAACCTGTCGGTTGCGTTTCACAACTGCCGTGCGGCCTATCAGGTGTGCGTCCTCGAGGTAGGCACACAAGGTCTCGAACATAAACTCGATGGGCCAAGCATTGGTCAGATGAGCGCCTCGGCGAAGTCCGCGAGCTGCGTGGACGCTGCGGGCGGCCGTGTCCACCCAGGTCTCCAAGCGGACATTGGTCCAGCCACCGAAGATTTCCATCAAAGGCCGTGGCCGGATCTCGGGTGGGCTGTAGAAGTCGCCCACGTGCTTCGTGAGCCGGATCAGGGAAGGGTGCACCTCATCTCCCGTGTCACGGGCCAATGTGACCGCAGCCATCGTGATGGGCAGGACGCCATTCGTCCGGTTGTCCACGAATTGGCACCTGCTGATGTTCCAAAGGCATGTGAGGATGTCGTACAAACCATCCCACTCGGTGGGATATGTCCTGCCCCATGTCGGCATCCACTTGGCCATCTCCAGTGCCATGGCGTTGGGGCCGGTAGGTTCCACCATTCTCGGTGTCAACCAAAAAAAAAATCGAGCCCACTTCTCTGCGGTCGTGGGCTTACCGTGTCACTACGCACACATTCTATGTGCTTCACGACAAAGTGTTCAGTCAGCAAAGTACATCCATGAGACTGGACGGCTGCCAAGCGGCTGTTGTACCCACAGAAGATTTCTATCTGAAAAGATTCTGCCACCAGAATGCTCGCTCACCACACAGAAAACCTCAAGAGTCAAGAGATTGAGATCAACTCAGTTCAGTCACACGTCTAGAGTGTGACCCTCTGAACAATGGCATGCTGAAAGCGGCTGAGCTCTGGACACATGCAATTCGAGCATAATCCAGCCAATACATCCGTTCCTTGCCCCTGCTTTCATTCCCATCCTTGGACCGCGTTGGAAAAACAATAGAAGACAGAGTTTCAGAAGGTTTTGAGCAAGACTCTGTCTTCTCGGTCGGCCGCACATCCTTAGGAGGCCGGGTGGGCGCGTCATACATGCTACAACTTGTAGGAAGAATTTTGCGGACAAAGAAGGAGCAAACGAGCTGCAAACAAAGTCCCAACGAGAACAAGAAACCAGTAACCAGTGCTTTACGAAGTGAAAAGCATCAAAAGTGGTCCCGAGCTTCGGCATAGTCCTCCCGATCGCCATCCAGGGTCGTGCGTAGCGCTAACGTGCCAAGCGCTAGAATCAATGGAAGAGCTATCCGGGAGAAAATGGTCCTCAACCCCAAGCAGTGCAAAGGAATCCATGCCCAAGCCAATTGGTGAATCCGAATCAATGAATCAATTCTCGAAGTGGATTCAGGACAAAGACTTGTGGGTGGGGCAGGTCAAATATGACTGTGAAAGTCTCAGTCTCAGCGGTTGAGTCGTTGATTCCGTGGCCTGGAGTCGTTGTCCAGCTCACCACATCCACAGCGGACGGTGGCCGTGCGGTAGAGATTGTCAATCGTCTCGCTGTTGACCAGTTCCCACAACTGCCAAAGGCACACAACTGCCACACAAAATGTGAACCTTCACAATAAGAAATCAATACAAAAAGAAACAGAATTTGGAGAGAGTCCCTCCCACCCTTCAACTTTTCGTTTACGGCACTCAAGCTTAGCTGCATGGCTCTTCATTACTCATTACTGCTCCCTGTTGGCATGTTTTCCTCCAGCGCACTTCTGACCCCTTCTGACTTCGCTTCTACCCCAGGGTGCTAGTAGCGTCCTTGCTCCTAGTAGCCATGCCAGGGTTGGGTTGAAAAAAGAGTCGTGGGTTAAATTAATGGCCTGCCCATCAGTATCTGGCCTGACATTCTGTCGGGTGAAAGTCTTCCATCGCTTGGACGTTCGCGGACTCTGTACCAGCAGCTTTATGAAACTGCCATGGAATTTACCTAGCTAAACTAAATGAATCCGAAGCAATTGATGCAATGCAATACACTTGGGCCCAGAATGAATAGATGCAAGCCTCAGCCTGCTCAGCCGCTTCAACAATTGCAATAAAGACCTTTTCAACTGCTGTTAATATGCCTTCAAATACCCAAGATCCCCTCGATGACCATGCCCAAAATCTTCGTAAGGCCACTCGGCATCATGTCTTTCACAGAAACTATGCTGGGGTTGGTGTGTCTCGCAAAAGCCACAGGAATTTGAGCATCTTCTCAGCATTGCGCAAATGCAGAGTAACTCACAGGCAATGACAAGCAAGTCAATAGACCACGCAGAAGCCCTTCTAGCAGAGTTACTGTTTACTTCAGCATAGCATCCAGCTTCAATTCAACTGTGCAAGTTACCCATCTCCGCCTGCAGGGAGTTCATGCTACTTCCTGCTCCGTTGGAGGAAAACACATGGAAAACAGTTGTCTACACAGTCCATTTCAAGCTCTTTCACTGCCCATCACAACTTCTAGGGTGGTCCAGCATGTCCGCTTTCGAGAATTGAGCTGATCCTTGCTGGGATGCTGCATATCAAACTGGAAGGCAAGTCCTGTGGACAAGGAGAGGGCACAAATGGCAAGCGCTTGGGCCAAGTGTGGTTGCGATGAGAGTCGCAAAGTTGAACAGAAGAACATGAACCCTACTAGCAACAGCCCTGGTTCTGTGAAGCACACGCTCTTCACTGCATGAATCAACACAAACCAGGCAGCACCTGGGTGGGTGGGTGGGAGAAATCAAAAGGGGCACTGCCCTCAATTTCTACCCAACCCAAGCACCGCTGCTGCTCACACTTAAGCCAAGATCATTCACCTCCAATGGACCAGTGATGTTGCAGAAGGGTTTGGGTGTACACTGGCCATATCCAGTCCCACCCCAGTGTGCACCCCCGATAATCTCAGGAACTTCTTCCAGCTCCCGTATTCATACTGCAAGAAATCACTTGACTCTGGGATGCAAATTCATCACCCCAAACACTTAGACATACATCAACGCAGCTCTGCATCCTTTTTAAGATTTTTGAGAATTGCATTTTCTTGGTCCCTAACCGGGTCGGCTTCCGGAAGACCTGCGTGAAAGAACCTCACTAGGATCGTGCAAACGAACGCGTTGAACCAAGGCTTAAGTCTTATCCACGGGGTCTTCCATCCGACTCGAGTGACACTGAGAACTACACTCAGCAGAGTGCCAGTTCCATCCGTGGGCTGGCTGTAGCTCGAAACTCCGCCAACATTTTTTGTGTTTCGCAGAAATGTTTCAAAGCTGCTATGCCTTTCAGATTTAATGATTTAAGACTGGGGTGATTTGACTTGCCGACAGGAATAGCCATGCCCTGCGAATTGCGACTACAAAACAGCTCGCTAAGACACCTGATTGTCTGCAGCCTTCTTGGGTCCCTCCACCAGCATTCACCGACGTTCAAATCAGAGGCCACAAGCTTTGAAAAGTCACATAAGAGGAAATGAAACACAAACCACCCAACAGTCATGTTTTCAACAAAGCAACGGCCAATGTTCGAACTGGCTCCCTTGAAACTGCTTTTCGCTAGAACGTGCTGCCAGGTCATCCCCTCTCCGCACAACAAAAACTGAAGTCATCAGGAACTCAACGACTGTGATAACTGTGATAGTTCACTCAAGTCTAACAATGGGATGGAGGGCGGAAACAAGCAGCATTCCGAAAAGCTGGGGAACGCGAACGGTAAATGTTGCCGCCAGGACCGAAGTGCTGCACAACAAAGGCGCACAGCAATTGAGCTCCTCAAGCGACGAACATCCGTGTCATAGTAGACTCTCAACATGTAGAACCGTCAGTCAGTTTGCCTGTTTTTAGCTCGCATGTTCATCTGAAAAGTCTGAGGACCTGACATCTGCGTTTGTTCCTGCCTGGTGAGAAGACTTGAACCTCAAGCAGCTTTGTGTCACACTCCAGCGCTGTCACATACTGGAAAGTCAAGTCGGAGAAAGCTTGCCCACAGTGTTTATGTCAATCATTCGGACATTGTTAGTCAATTGCAACGCACTCTCAGGCTGTAGAAGCACCCTGATGCTAAGATGAAGACACCGCCTTAACTTCCAAGCGGTGGGAATTCTGCCTTGGCGATGTTCCTCTTCATGACTGTGCCAAAATGCCGGGGATTTAGTTAGCTTCGACCCTCCAAGTATTGAAACAAGCATCAAACCGCCAGTGGCAGTGACATGATGCACAAATAGGAATGATTGTCCTTTTTGCAAGTCTACGGGCATCAGGCAGGATGTTTCACGCGAACCCCAAGAACGCCATGAACCAGCTCAGCCCACAGTAGTAAGAACCTCTGAGGGCCGAAGCCCACATGGCAGCCGCTTGCTTATTTGTCCCGCAAGCTGCACCTCAGTGCAGCTGACGCGTGAGGAGTGCATGTAACCGCATACAGCGGACATTGTATTGCCAAAAGACACACCACCAAGGCAAAGCTGGTTTGTGATCACCACAGCAAGACAGCAAGACTCGTCACATGCGTTTGAGGATTTGTTCTAAAAAATCTATTCGTTACATCTAGCTTGCAAAACCCAAAGGCCCCGCCGGGGCCCGTGCACTCTAACAACATTTGTTCATTTCGGAGTGTACACCTGAATGTCATGATGTGCCAGTAAAGGTTAAACTTGCCAATCCTTCTGCTTACATTTGCATGCTACTGAGATTTTAAATAAACATTAACATCTTATTTAACGGTGGACGCATAATGCTAGCTGCTGTCGATGGAAGATAGTTGTGCCACTGTGTCTGCAGGAATCCTTGATAAGTGAGCCCCTGGTTTTCCCCTCCTCGATGGCCCTTCGAATGAACTAGCTTCACTTTAATCAAAGCCACAGTTCTAGAAATATTTTGCTTGCCTCTCTCAAAACCCTCTCAAACCACCTCGGACAGGCCCAGTGGGAAGAGCTTGGGTCGTCATCCCTCAGTTGATCCACATGGGACGCATCTTATGCTCACCAAAAGATTCTGTGCGGGACATATGCACACAAGTCACATACATACAAACAAACTGCAACGAGCTAAACATAATCTAAAGTTAGACACGCACCACCTGCGGTGGCTGAGACCCCGTGCTCAGCCGCTGCATCTGAGCAAGTTGGGGAAGGAAGGTAGGGGGTGGCGTTAAATCCTCTGCAACAGCGTTCTTAGATTCTGCAAAGCATCTAGAATCTAGTCTCTTGTGCTAACGGCATCTGGTGGAATGTCAAATCAAAATGCCAAATAAGCTGCCAATTGAGCCAAGTGAGCCAAGCCCAATAGAACTGAGACACCGGCGCTCGCACTCCTTGGATTTGGTACCAGCACCCCGGCCACCACGCCCAGCACCTCCCCTGGTCGCCTGAGAAGAATGGAGCGAATCCGCTCCTTCCCATTCATCCCTTCGGCCCCCCTTCGGCCCTTCAACTGTTCAAAACACGTAATGTTGTTTTTTGCTGTAGAAGAGGGAGGTAGTAGCTAGAGGTAGCTAGTAGTAGTAGCTAGGTAGCTAGTACCTACAAGTAAGCTACACAGGATAGCTCACGCTTCTATTCATTTGGTTCCTAGATTTTCAGGAAAATTTAGCCTTAGGTTCCATTTGCTATTCAATTCAAGTCACGCATTCATGTCGGTGTGTGACTTTGCGCGGCAAGAGTTGAATTCCCAGCGACTCTATAAACGTGAATACTAATGGCATAGGATTGCTGGGTGTTGGTGGATTACACTCCTGAGCTAGCTAATGCCACTTGGATGTTTGTCTTCTGGCCTTGGCGCCAGCAGTAGGTGCCACTTGGTGCTCTTTGACCTGCATCAGGCTGGAGAAACAGAATGCATGAGCATTGTGTGACAATACACTCTTCATGGATCAGCTTGCAGTTTCCAAGCAGCTCTATCAAAGCTCGGCCATTGAACCTAGATGGTAGATAAATGAAGCCGTTGTGCTGCTAGTGTCTCACAACAACTCTAGACTCTGCACTTAAGCTGGGAAGTGCTGCCCTTGAGGGTTTCTTCAAGAGCAGCCAGGCCCCAAGCCAGTGTAAGTATGGATGGCTGGGAAAAGGACTAGGAAGGAAGGTGGCTGGAGGATAGCTGACGGGACATTGCTGGAGGTGATGCTAACTGGCTGAGAGGTAGAAAGAAAGTAAACAGTACAAACACGCAGCTTTTGGTATCAACTGCATTGTCAAGCATCGGGATGGCTTAGCTGCTTAGCTGAGTCAATGCCTTGTGTAGGAAGGATAGCAATGGCCCGTCCCCCCTTCACACACAATAGAACTCTTGGAATGTGAGATAGACATCGATTAACCCAGACAGTGATCCCGGTTAGATTTGGACACCGGCTATGAAAGCGAATCGGCAGGCAAAGTAGGCTTGCAACATATACAAATGCAACAATCCCTTTTTGCATCGTTTCTATATATATACATGGATTGAATAAATACAAGTACCTAATTATTCCTGACATGCCTCAGCCCCCCAACCCCCTCGGGATGCCTTTGTTTTTTTCGGCTTCTGTTCCGCAATCACGAAATCAGCGAGCCTTAGTTGCTGGACACCCCGCTTTTGGAGATTTTGAGGCAAGTGCATTCTTCCGGCGCGTGTCGGGCAATGCGCATTCTTGTCTTTGGAAGCCACCTGGGGTTGATCTGAGCTTCTGGCGTGTTGTTCGGCCGTTGTTGCGTCTGAGGTTTCTGTTGATTCTGGCCTCAACAGGGCCCAACGTTGGTAGAGCCGCACGGGGTAGTAGGTCTGACAATGTTCAGCAATTCAAGAGTTTGTGCTTTTACAATTCTATCCTCTGCACTCCAAGACTAATTGCTAATGTAGCTTAATATTGACTTACTGTATATATTATTGTGGCCCGCTTTGCCGAACTACTTGTGACCCTGGATGCCTGCGCCGAAGTCTTTCTCAAACTGCTTCTTCAAGGCTTTGGCCCTGAGGAATGTAGCATGGTCCCGGCCATCTAGTTTGTCAAGCTACACGTCCATCAAAGTGCGCTCTTTTCATCTCAAAAATGCAATCCACTTTCAAGAATCCCAGGCGAGCCTGTATTTACATGACTCAAATGACCTGTGTGAATTACCTTGCCCTCTTGCACATTCAGAAGCGGCAACCACTTCGCAACCACTTCTTGATCGAGAATCTCACCTTTATGAGATGTCTTGGCAATCAATGGGCAAGCTCAACCTAATCAAGAGAGTTTGACATTCAATCAAACTAGGCTCCCGGCAAGGCATCCCAATTCTGCTCATCACTCATTTGTTGAAACCCCTGACCTGCGGCATGATGAGAAGTTCTAGGCAGGAAGGAACGTTAAACTCAATCGAAACATGATGTTCTGTCTCGATATCAATGATTGCGCCCGGCCTGTGTTACAGTAATTTGTAAAGTCAATGTACAAATGGTAGATGGGCAGAATGGTCTCACTCATCGTCTCAGATTCGGCACAATGGCAGACTTGCCATGTTGCACGTGGCAAACTCAACGAGCGAGCGGGTATACAGGTGAAAAGAAATGGTACAATTGAGCCTTTAGAGTGTGTTTCTCAAACAAAAATCCGGTGGGTGTGGCCCTGAAGTGAGACAACGATTAAAAAAGAAGCGTTCCAACAGCTGGGAAGAGAGAATCTCCGCAAGAGAAGAGCTTCAAGGCTTCTTGTCTTCTTGTGACTCGTTGTCTATGCAGAAGCTGCTGTGGTGCCTACTCGGCCTTGTGTAGGAAGAACCCAGTCTGACCCAACTTTAACTTCATGCAGGTACTTTGTGGCTAAGTACTGGTTCCTCAGTTGGAGGAAATGGGGGGGTCACCGAACCGGAAGTGTCACTGCCACTCACCCCACTTTAATCAAGCTACTCTGAGCTCATGCGAGTTAATCGCTGCAGATCCTTGGCTGCGCATCCTGGCAGTGCAGGAAACGCAGGGCTTCGTCGAAACAGTGCGGCATGGAGAGGGCAGGTCCAAAACGCTCTCCGCTGTCTTGGATCTTGCAATGATGTGCAATCCTTTCTCCCTTGACAGCTTGCTGAGTGGTCTAGTGACATGCCTCAGACAGCAAGAGCTGCCACCTGGCAGCTCTTAATGTTCTTTTCGGGCAACAAAAAGAAGCAACGATGTAGATTGCTACGAGCAATGTTGGGTTGCCTCTGCGTTCATCCACAGTCCGCAGTCTATGGAGTGCGTCCCAAATCATTACTACTATTGAGTTTCCCTAAAAGTCTAGGAACCAAATCATTAGTGCGAGCGCTTCTTTAAGGAAGCTTCCCCCGCCGCCTTTAGGTCGGCGGGGGGAGCTTCCTTGAAGAAGCGTTTGCTATCCTGCGTCCATAAGTAGTAGCTACTTAAGCTAGCTACCTCTTCTGCTAGCTACCTCTAGCGGCCTACCCCCCTAAACAAAAAGAAATCTTGGTAGCGGAAGAGTTGGCGTTTCTGAAAACGAGATGGTGAGTCTGGGGAGTCGGAGGCGAGACATGAGACAAACGAGGCCGAAGGCACTGCTTGACAATCGCTTCTTCAGCTTTCTTGTGGCTTTTAAGAACCTGGTGCGATCCCGGGAGTTTGAATGCTTAAGGGGTTGTAGCAATCATCTTTACTTAGTTTATGAACTCACTTTCTCTGCTCAATCTATCCGCCATCTTGAAGTTCACTCGAAATCTGCGTAGCATCTGGACCCACAGTGTGATACAAGCCCTTGACAATTCTTGCATACGTCAAGCAATCCCCTTGAGCCTCATAGAGGGGCTGTTTTTGCCCACCCTTGCCACCGCGGCCTTGGGCACAATTGTCTCAGAACCAACAGCAATCCTCAAAGAGATGTTATATTGGTTGTTTATGTGTTTTAAAGATTGTTTTGAGGGTGTCAACCTCAAAGTCCAAAATTATCCGCAGTCGTCAAAACCAGGCCAAGTTCACCTCGGCCTTTGTCGGCGCCAAAATGGCTTGGACCTGTGGCCTGGGTCGAACTCTCAGACTCCAAAAACTGTGGGAGAGTGGGCGTTCTTCTCTTCAAGACCTAAAAAGGACCTCAAAAAGGACATGATCTACAATGTCTCAGAGTCTGGCCTCCGGTGCACGGGCACCTTTGCCATCGCCTGGGGGATAGCGCATGTAGGAAAAGTAGACGGTTTTTCATTTGCGTAATTTCACGCAAGAAGCAAGCTGCACAGCATGCAATCTGAACTTGTTCAGTGATCACACTCGTCTCTAGAAGCTGTAAATCACAACAACTCCAGAACTCCCCAACCTTGTTTACACCTGTATAAAACCTTGGCCATCAGGGCTCTGGATGGCTCGACCTATGTTCAGACTAGTCGGCTAGTCGGCTAGATCTGGTCTCTGCCTGGCGGGAAGCCATGCGTACTCCGATCCTGGCAGAGAGTTTCCAGTCAAAGCTCAAGCGCTCTTGCGCCGAAAAAAAATGATCAAGTTGCTGAAGCATCCAGATCCTCGAGCATCGTCATGAATTTGGCTGCAGTTCTACAACTTGGTAAAGGCCGCTTTAGCAGTTCCACAATTTGCAAACAGCCCTCAGCCCATCCCGATCAACAGTAGCCGCTAGCCTGTCTGCTTGACAGGTTCGCGGACTCCTGAAGCCACCAGCTTCAGGCGAAGGCAACAAAACATATGATTTGCATTGAGACTTGAAACTTCAGTGACCATTGAAACCAAGCATTTTCGAACCAACCGATGGCTCAAACATGCTCAAACATGCTCAAACACTCTATCGCTCCTTCTCCATCGCACCAGGTGGTCGGGGGCCGAGCCTCAGCACTCCCACCTCTTGCCTTGTGTATCAGGTTTAAGAGTCTTGAAGTCCTCGCAACCTGCAAAAACTCTGGGATTCTCTGGGTATACATATATATATATATATCTTTCAGCCTCAATCCATCAGCAGTTCCACCTCCTGAGATCACCAACCCGCTGCCCTTGACTTCCTCGCGAGGAGGGCCTCACAGGTAGTCACGGGGAACTTCCGACCGGGCACCACCAGGGCCCCAGGTCGCAAAAATTCAGCGAGTGAAGATCCCTAGTCACGTCCTTGTTCCTAGTAGCGATGCCAGGAGCCCCTAGTAGCTTCTTGTTCCTCTCCCCAGGCGACTGCTCCATCGCAAGCGAGAACCTTGTGTGAATCCTGGCCTCGGGGCGGCGAAGCGTCGCGGTATTCGCGTTCCGAATAACCAGGTGGTGGATGCCGCAGGTTCCTGCGAAGGGTCCGCTTTGAACGGCGAAAACGATGAAAACGATGAAAACCACAGCAGGCGCACGCATCGTGGGATTGTCTGCCCTGCGCAGGTGCGTCTATACGAACCTGCATCGGTCGCGTCATGGCCAATCAAAGAGTGAGTACGTGAAACAAAGCCTTCTGCTGTGCGGTTTCAACTAGGCTTATATAACCTATATCACTCTACCACGCACAGCCACACTTGCCAAATCACGCGGGGTCGCCTGACCATAGGACTTCTCAACCGCAGGCCGGCTCGCTGAGCTGGACAGGTAGCCTCGATGCAAAATGGAAGTCTCTTCCACTTTCCACAGGGACACTCTGCTGGACTTGACAGGTCCCTTCCGGCCATTCCATGTGAGGTATGAAGCAAGTTCCAGATTCCCAGATTCTGCGAGATTCTGTAGAAAGCTACAGTACAAGATTTCCATTTGGACAAAATCTGACAGACCCATGCTTTGACACACAAAGATGGCCTAGACTCAGGCTCAGGCCACCCATATCAAGGTCATTGCCTATCAAACCTAAGGACCAAAGCTGTTGCGTTACGTTTATATAACGTTTAACCCTCAACCTGCGCATGAACAGCTTCGAACAAAAGCCTTCGCATTCTCATGCTCACGCTAGACCAGCTGTGGGCCTTGTTGTGCTGCCCCGTGATTGGGTGGAGCATAGCCATTCCTGCTATGGAACAGTGTGCTCGCAAGTCTGCTATAGAACAGTAAGCTCCATAGCGCTCACAGGTTCATGGGACGAAAGGATGCTCTAGGTTGCAGTCCTGCTGATGCTCGAAGGGGGAGCTTGCCGATATGCGGCAGCACCTCGGCAGGTTGCCAATGCAGCTCAAAACGCCACAAGCATCAAAGTCTGAATCGAGAAGCGTGTGAAGACTTCGCAGGTTTCATGGCTGTCATGGTTTGCTCATGATGGCACAGGGATGAGCGCAGTTGGATTGGTGCAATAAGAACCATGGTCAAGCTCTGAGACCCTGTGCTGGAAGTGAGGTTGCTTAGACCTGGACAAAGAGCCCAAAAGTATGGGGATTGAAAGGCACAATCCGGCAACTCTTCAAACACCTTGGGCCCTGACCATCATTGGGTCGCATAGACTGATACACGCCAGGGCCAGTATCCTTGGAATCTAGAACATGGCCCTACCTTTGACTTTACTTACCATGGACCACAAGCTCAAAGGTAATGGCCATGTGCATAGGCCATGCAAACTCAGGCGACCGAGCATACTCAATGCTGTGCTTGTTGTAGGAGGTCTGGTGGCCTCTCACAAAACGCTCTTCAAAACCCTCTTCTAAACCTTCGAAAAAATGAAAAAAGTGCATCAGGAAGGAAAACCTTCGAAGGTATGCCCTCTAGGATAATGGCGCCTCCATTCCAACTGCTCATGCCCATGTAGCCCTCCGTCCGGCTTGGTGGTTGCCCATAGCCAGGTGTGGCCGGAGGCCTGAGAAGAATCATCAAACGCACAGTGGTGTAAAACTGGAGTAATCGAAACAACTTAGCTTGGAAGCTCGGACATGGTTCAAGGATGGAAGCTGCAAACGTGTTTTTTCTTCCTTTGTTTTTTGTTGTGTTTGTTTGTCCTTTTTTTTGCCCGTGGCCCTGCCTCCTTACTTAATTAAGTAAGGGAGTAAGCTTCTAGTTTCTTAAGCTTCTACCTACTGGACGCAGGATAACTCACGCACTAATGATTTGGTTCCTAGATTTTTAGGAGACACATTCGTACAAAGCACACTCATCATGCAGTACGGGTGAGCATGCCTGGCTTGCACGTCGTGCGATGGTAATCCCTGGAGTACCGTGAGGTCCTTCAGGTCTTTCCCTGCACCGAAGGACGGTGCCGGAAACGCGCCATAGGTCTTTCACGGCCATCGGATGCAAGCCATGGAGTCAATGTCTCTGCGAAACGAACACATTCCACCTCCGGGAACGACTTCCTCTGCCCTCACTTCTGCATCAACACTGACATCACGAAGATAAGTACTCATTCGGTAGTTCAGTATCTCACCCTACAAGGTTTGTGTATGTTTCTTCTCAGGTTTCCAGAGCAACTCAGCCCCGTGTCAGAGAAGGTGCAGGAGTCATTGTTCAAGTCTAGTACAACACCATCTGAGGTCATACCAATGTTTGCCTATCACATGCAAAGAAGAGACAAACATCCTGCTTGGCCAATGACCTTCCAAGAAGTGTACCTAAATGCGCGGACCTAAGTGCGCGCCTCGGAAGATGATGAAGTCGTAGATTTCATTTGACATCGGAACTTCATGTTGCCTGAGAAGTGCTCGACTAACAAGACACTTTGTTGGTGAACACAGAGAAAGCCACATGCGTGCACCCTGCATCATCCTACTTCCACGTTGGATTAATACCACAGCGAAAACATCTCCTCTGCAAGCTGACCAGACCCAAAACTGTGAGCGGCAAGCGACCGGCCGGTTCCACTTCAACCAACTCAACTCGACACAAGAAGTAATCGATGGTAAAGAAGTTCTAGAAGAGAAACTTCACAGACTTGGAAACATAACATACATCAACACTTGGCGTAAGAACATCTCAAAAGGGTTGGAGGCCATCGCTAGTGGGTTGGAGGCCATCCCAAATAGGTTGGAGCCAGTATGTTGGAGGCCGTTGCTAGTAGGTTGGAGGCCATCGCAAGTAGGTTGGAGGCCATCCCCAGTAGGTTGGAGGCCATCGCCGGTAGGTTGGAGGCCGTTGCTATTGTTGCTATAAGGTTGGAGACTATTGCTGTTAAGTTGGAGGCCATTGCTATTAGGTTGAAGACCGTTGCTATTAGGTTGGAGACCATTGCTATTAGGATGGAGGCCATTGCTATTAGGTTGGAGGCCACTGCTATTACGTTGGAGGCCATTGCTATTACGTTGGAGGCCATTGCTATTAGGTTGGAGGCCACTGCTATTAGGTTGGACGCCATTGCTAGTAGGTTGGAGGCCATTGCTATTAGGTTCGAGGCCATTGCTATTTGGAGACCATTGCTAGCCATTGCTAGTAGGTTGCAGGCCATTGCTAGTAGGTTGGAGGCCACTGTTATTAGGTTGGAGGCCACTGCTATTCGGTTGGAGGCCATTGCTATTAGGTTGGAGGCCATTGCTATTAGGTTGGAGGCCATTGCTATTAGGTTGGAGACCATTGCGATTAGGTTGGAGGCCATTGCCATTAGGTTGGAGGCCATTGCTATTAGGTTGGAGACCATTGCTATTAGGTTGGAGACCATT